GGACGGAGACCGAATTATAAGTCCCCGTTTTCGGACTTCGTCCGAACGGGGACTAATAAAAAACAGACATTAAGTTTATGCTACAAAATCAAAAAATCAAATTATTCCAGTACCACACCAACTGTGAGTTCCAACGTATGTCACTACTATATATTACAGAGACAATGCCATTTGTAGATGTATAAACGCGTTCAGTAAATAAAGATACTAGCTTTCTAGACAAGGGAATGTTTGTACTCTATTAACAACACACATTGTACTAACACTACAATCATGTGGATATCCAAAAAATTTCCTGAAAGCATTGTTATAGGAAACCCTCATGGCATTTAGCATAGACTTTCGAAAACAACACCATAATTGACAGCAATAAAAACTAGAACAGTAAGTTTTGAAAAGCAATTGCTTAACCTCAGTGCTACAGTTCACAAATTTTCACAACAAGAGATTAGCACGAACACAAAACAAACGTCTCTGGTGATCAATGTCAATATTGTCTTTAAGATCGCACAAACAACATAATGCGTTCAAGAATATTGACGTCACATTCAAACGCATTCCTTTGTTAGCATCAAATAAGGAAGCATTATAATTTGTGACGAAAATGGAATTCAGTCACTGACGCAAACATTTGCACATCATAAAAGAATTGTCATTGCTATTTCTGGCTGTTATCTCACAATAAAATATTACTACAAGCAAGAAGAAAATAAAGTTACAACGAGAATACTGTAAAGTATTCATGAAGGCAGCACAGGAACTAACCAGCAAAAATGTCACAAAAAAATTAAAAAAACTTACCATATACACTGCTTGCAAGTTGGAAAGAAATATACCATTGGGATGGCATGACAAAACATACCAAATATTATATTTGACACAAGAATCCACAGTTTTTACATTTGTTTTCTTCTCAGTGGCAGTCTCTGTATTAAATGAAGAAGATATTATATAAAACATGACATGCACTCACAGATCTACTCTAACAACTAGAGAGGTCATCAATTTATACTGACTGAACATATATGCTGGAGGACCATTGCCGCCATTGACAAAAAGTTAGAAAGGGCTCCAGAACAAGTGTCTGTAACCTAAGGCTCGAGTCAGGAGTCTCTACTATGAAGGACACTATCCAGCCAAGTAGATAGAGATGGCTAGAGCATATCTGTCACATGCCATCCAGCTCACTCCCCCCTCCCCCAAGGTAAAAGAAAACAGGGAGGCCAAAGAAAACTTAGTGATTGACAATAGAAAGAAAGCTCAAGAACAACAGACCCCAGAGCAGCCGCACACAGAGCCAGATGTACATTCCTTGCTATCGCCTCAAGCACCAGCAGACAGAGAGAGAATTGAATGAAGCAGATATAGATGTTTGACAGTGACCGACAAAGTATTCTTGAATAACAGACATTTTGCCACTACTCTGACTTTCCTTTCATTTTAGAGATCTAATACCTTTTGATTTCTCTTTTTTGTATAGCCTGGTGTCGTATAGGAGCCAATCACCTTTGTTCGTTGGTCGTTCAATAGTCACAACGTCGGGTATGAGAGAGACAAGCTCTATGACACTATAGAATCCAAGTGGTTTCAATGGTAGGTCTTTTCCTGTAAGTTGCTGGGTGAAATGAAAAAGATGAAAATAAAAATAATCTCTCAAGATGTTCTTATATTGTATCTATTCTGGTGAATCCAAACATTCATTTCTATTAAAGCCGAAAATATAAGCTAATTTTGCACCAAATGAAGATAAAAAAAAAGTTTTCTTTTATCATGAGTATTGTTTCACAGAAAATTTGTAATTATTCTATACTTTGTATGTCGATATAAATATCTCAACACATAAATATGCTATAATATGATGTAAATGCACCATAAAAAATGTCAATCATACAACATAAATATTATATTATTATATTATATTCTGAGTGTTACCATACATTTGTCATACATCTGTAAATGTGTAATAACCACACATAATCATATGCATAAATATTTCATGATACATGAATCATCATCCTACAACATAAATATCACAAAAATGCCTAAATCATACAGTAATCACTATTATACCACTGCATAGACCCATAATGCACAATAATGTATTACCTTGTACTCTGGTTGTAATTGGGCTGCCCATAAACCAGCTGGTCTTTTACACAGAATCTGAGAAGCAAATCAGACAGTAAATATAGTCATCTAATCTCTGCTAATAACAAGTATTTCAGAAGCAGCATTAATGTTTTTATATTCGCCATTAATGAACTTTTTCATATGAGCAGGTTCATCAGTGAGAAAAAGAAGAAACTGAGAGCGAGTGAATGGATGAGTATGACTAGTAGAAAGCCAAAATCAATAACAGAGGCAAACAAGTGGGTTCAATTGGGCATACTTCAGTAGGCACACTCATTGTTGAATGTTCACATTAAAATCATTTTAAAAAAATTTAATTTTTCATTTTTGCAAATTTTTGAATGGCAGCATATTTCAATAGCCAGGGGGATCAGACATTAGCATATCGACTCAATCATTTCTTGTTGTTTTAAACATGGCTGATCCATCAAATCAATTTTTTCATCTTGTATTTAAAAATTAATTTGCAGAACTCAATATTTCCAATGATATCTGTGTATGTGCTCATTTGTGCTTATTATGCTGACTGTCTCCAGTGCAATGTACTTCAGATAGAAAACCCAAGCATTTGTCACAATACCGAGTAGACAACCAGCTAATAAAGTTCCAAATTGGTGCTTGAAATCCCTGTTTTCTACAAATCATCTAAATTTGGGTAATAAACAGTTTTTGCTAAGCTGGAAAGTTTCTTGTACATAAAATGAACTGCATGTGGTCAACAAAAACATGGCACTGCGATGAACGATAAATTGTATCAAAGCTTACATCAACATTTCTAGAATTTTGTGTCATTAAGCAGAGTTTTAAAGAAAATTTTGCAATGAGTTTGTCATCTGTATCAACATAATGTTACATAAAGTTAAATCATTCTATGTTAGAGTGATTTAGTATAATTTTAGTGTGAAGGTGGGATTGCTAGGCGAACAGTAATTATAAACAACAAGTTAACACCATGCAAACAACCCACTATGATTAAGAATGTTGCAAGAAGCGTTACACAATGCATGTTTTTTAAACAATAGCTCATGAGGGAATTGCCAAAAAATGCTATGTCATCTCCTCATAACATGGGTAGAGTAAAATTATTTTCATGATACAAAATGACACTGAATCAACGCATTGATGACGTAATCTAAACAGAATATCCTACATATAAGAAAAATGCATTATAATGCATAATACACCTGTACCTTTCTCACTTGTTCTTTCAACTCATCGTCAATGGAATCATCAACTCTTGAATCTGATATAAAACTTGAATTCAAACTTTCATTCCCTCCCTCATCATCATCTGTGGTTTGTGTCAGATCAGTCAGTTTACTAGGACTATTCTTATCAACTACGCACTCTGGATGGTCCTTCTGATCTGCTGCTACATGTACAGTTAGGAATACAAAAGCCAGATAAATGTCAATATTTAAAATTTGTCGCGCCCTTATATACTGTAAAACATGTTTAAATAGCTACATGCTATTTTAGCAAATTTGACTCCATGTATGAATTAACTGAATCTTTATTTAGCTAAAGTGTCAACAATGTCATTGTGAGAATGTACTTTATTTTAAATTAGCAACATTTTGAATAAGTGAAATTACAAATTAGCTAAATTAGCTAAAATAACATGCTAGCTAAAAAGGTATGTTTTACAGTAAGTTGAGTTCCATCATGTATACGTCAAACTCAATGATAACGTGTACAGCCCACAACTGGCACTTGAAAATGATCAATTGCGAAAAAAGATAGAAGCAAAGTTATTCATAAATGCAAAATATGATAATTCATGAGAAACAAATCAAAAACTGATGAGCATTATAATTGTTTTGCGCGACTTCAAAAAAGAAGTTTTTTAATACACTCATATGAATCCTTGCCAGCATCCAAAATATATGAAAATACCTACCACTCAGAAAGGCTGGTTGCACTTCTACCTTGCTAGTTTTAATCTGGTTTATAGTTCGTCTGTCATCGCTGTCTGGATTCTTCTTATAAAGTTTGAACCCACCACCATTGAGATGGTGTACGTAAATAAGGTCTGGAAGGTTTGATGACCTCGCCTAGCGACTTAAACCCCATGGCTGTAAAGTCTATGTGCTGCCCAAAACGCCTGGCGAATGCATTGTTGAAACTAGACCCCAACAAACCATTCGGGTATGCAGAGAGCAGGGCCTTTATTTTAGTTCGTAGATGGGCTGGAACGGAAGGTTGTTCCGCCATCAGTGGCTTGGGAGCTCCCGTGGGGGGAGGTGGCGCTGTTTTTCTTACCAGTGACAAGTAGCCGCTTACCCGGCCTCGACGACAACGTAAACCGACCTTTTGTCGCGAAACTAACTTAGCTATATGCTTGGTTGTATCATCTGCGACGCCGTAAAGGAGTAAAAGTCCCCTCTCATAGTGAGTTTGGAGGCAATCAGGAACAGACTTGATGAAATCGGTAACGGTGTTGTAGCCAAGTTCCCTGTAGGGAATGGGTTGACCCAACATCGTGTGGTAGTCATTTTGAATTTGCTGCAAGGTCAATCCAGTTGGTGCAGAAATAAGCAAAGCTCTCAAATTTTTCTTCACTTCTTCCTTCAATTTCGCCAATTCTGACATCGTTCTCTTCACGTAATCGCCAGGTTACCTCAGTCAGTGATAAACACGGAAGAATTTGGAATAATTAGAAATACTTCTAACTACTGGGACACACGTTTAGCGAACTCGAGTTATAAAACTCCCTAAGTTAAGAGATATTCATTGATTGTTTATTTTCACGACTGAGGGCGCACTTACAGTTATAGTTCGTCACGGTCATCTATTCGGAAACACGTTAGAATTGCATACAGTCTCTTGTTGCGTTTCCA